TGGAAATGCTACGAAAGTAGAAAAGTTGTTGCACACGAAGAGGATATTTATTTATAATGTTTACATTGAACTTTGTATTGCTTCACCTTTTATTTTTTGCTATACTTGCAATTGAACAAGCATCATTAACTCTTTTACCATCAGAAGTTTTCATTGCTCTCTAGAAACAACGCAAGCAGTTTAGCAGTATAGCAGTTTTTATTCTTCTTTTAATTTTTTTATAAAGAGATTTAATAAATCAAATTTGAGAATATAATAAATTTGTAAATTAAATTAATCGTAAAACCTTTAAATTAAATAAAACATAAAATTTGATAGAACATTTTTTGTATATGTTAAAATCTTTTTTAATTAAGATATAAATACAATTTTTAATTAAACGTACATAAATAATTTGGCATGTAAAAACGCAAAGGTTTTCTTTAAATAAAACATATGCAAAATACAATGATGAAAATTGATTTAGTTGAATTCATTAAAAGCTCTTTTAGAAATTTATAAGATTATACATTTATAATTATAAACAAGTTATATGTCTTTTAATCACATGCTTGAATACTAACACTCATCCTGCTAACAACAATCTCTAACAACAACCGAGTCTCCAGGAAGACACCAAATTATTTTCTCCTCTATTCCTCGTACGTTCTCTTATACTCATCGAGTGCTCTTCGCTAGACACTTTCGTTCAAGCGTAAAACACGCCGCATCTGTAATTTCCGTGCAGGAACTCCAGAATTCTACCTGGCCGAATTTCTCTCCGATCCGCGCATTTTCCTCTTCGTCTGTCGGTTTCCCCTTCTTCCTTTCTCCTCTTAATTCGACGCTGTCCATACGTTCGAAAAAACGCCCGTGAGTACGTTTTCTTATTTTGCTTATCGCTAAAATGGATCGTTCGCGGAAAAAGAGAATAACGGACAACAGCGACGAGCTAGTCTGAATCGTGCGCGTGAAATACGCAGGTACGTCACGCACGTACCGTCGTCTGTAAATCAGTCGCGAGTGCTCGGGCTCTCGCGAAATATTTAACGACGACTCCTATCCTCGTTTCGCAGTTACGGTAACTCCTCAACCCCCTCGCTAAATTTATTGCGTAATTTCAAAACGTTTGGCGTTTTCGTGCCGACCTGTGACTGGCCACGGATTGCGCTTTCAAACGCAAACGATAAATTAAAAGTCGCGACATAATGTTTCCAAATGATACTGCTCACTCAGTCCATAATCTTGAGTCGATTATTACAAGATAATAATAATAATAATAATCTAATATTAATTTCTACTAATTATATCTCATTAATGACTAAATTAATTACTTATAAAAAATAATTTTACTTGTAAAGTTTTACTTGTATTTAAATTGTGGCCTAAATAAAAATGCATATCTTTCTTTTCGTGCCTACATTACTCGTACACAAGAAGAGTAAATAATTTAATATTAAAACATATTTATGTATGTTAGTATTACGGAATCTCTTTCTATATGTATTCTCTCACTTAAATTTTTAGAAAATTTCATTTCACGCTAGTATACATTATACATCACATTTTTCAAAAGCCAATTTTATAAATAGTTTTGAAAATGACATTTATAAAACCATAACTAGTAGAATTATAATTAGAAATATTATATATTAATTGATTAATTATGTAAAAAAATTACACTAACGTAATATATTGATTACATATGTTAACAAATTGAATCTAACCATTTGATAAATTCAGACAGAACTAATTTCTAATATGCTCTGATATTCTTGATTGATAATATTGACATATATATTTAAAAAATAAATATATATATATTTATTTATTTATATATATATTTATGATACATATTGATTTATTAATTCGCTTTGCTGATCTACTTAACTGATCTACTTAAAATAAAATTATATATATATATATATATATATATATATATATATATTATGTATATTAA